GGGTTAAGGTACACAAAATTACCATGTGCATATTTGTAACTTTTAAAGACTAAAACAAAAATCTGTGAATCACCAAAATTTTAAAAATATACTGCCAGTATCCTTTAAGTCCCTCCTTAATTACATCTATCTCCTTCTCCCTATAGGTAAAAACAAATCTTATTTTTGTTATTAATTTTACTTGTCTTTGTAATGCATCCCTAAACAATATACTTAAGAGTTTCCCCATTTTTGAACTTTAATATAAATTGAATCTAATGTGTGGATTCTTCTGTAATGTACTTCTTTTGCTAACACTTTATTTTGGCATCTATCTATGATGAGGAGGTTTGCAATAGTTCTTTCATATTCCCTGTTGTGTTTCATGATATAAAAACATTACAGTTCATTCATTTTATTGTTGATCCATATAGCAGGCAGAGTACCACCTCCAAAGATGTCCATACCCTAATTCCTGAAGCCTGTGAATATATTTTTACATGGCAAAAGGGACTTGAAAGATGTGGTTAAATTAAGCATCTTGAGATGGGATGATAATACTGGATTATTCGGGTGGGACAAATATAGTTACAAAGTTCCTTGTAAGAGGGAGACAGGAGTGTCAGAGTCAGAGAGAGAGAGACTGGAAGATGGTATACTGTTGGCTTTGAAGATGCAGGGAGAGATCACAAGCCAAAGATCATTGAAAACTCTAGAAGCTTGGAAAAAGGGGACTCCAGAGAAAATGCAATGTTGCTGATACCTTGATTTTAACTCTGTAAAATCCATTTTCAGACTTCTGACTCCTAGAACTACAAGGTAATAAATCTATGTTGCTTTATGTTACTAAGTTTGTGGCAATTTGTTATAGTAGCAATGGGAAATTAATACAATCCATATTTAGATTGTTTTCAGATTTGGCTAAACGACAATGCTATGCAAACGTTTTTGTACATATATCCCGATATACATGTACAAGAGTTTCTCCAGGTTATATGCTTAGGAATGGAGTTGCTATAAGTACATGCTCAGCTTTATTAGGGAATGGTGGGCTAATTTCCAAAACATTTGTACCAATTTACTATCCTACCAACAATGGATGAGAGTTACTGTCAAGCCATATTCTCACCAATATTTAATATTAATCTATGCTTTCATTTTTGCCAATCTAGTAAGCATGAAAGGGTATCTCATTTTTTAAATTGCACCAATAAGGTACAATATTCATATGTTTTATAAGACATTTGTATTTCTTCTTGTGTAAACTGTCTATATCTTTTGTTCATTTTTCTACTGGATTATCTTTTTCATACTGATCTGAAGAAATTAATACTGCTTCTTCCTTATTCTATTCTTGTACAACTCCAATTAGACATATTAGACCTTCTTATTCTATTCTCCATGTATCTTAAGTTCTCTTTAATATTTATTATCCTGCTGTCTCTTTAGATTTAATTCTGAATAATTTATTTGCATTTATCTTCCATTCATTTATTTATTCATTCAAAATATTTATTGAGGCCTAACATGAGCTTTGCACTGTTCTAAGTGCTGGAAATGCAAAATTAGAAGAAAAGAAGAAATAAAAATCTCTGCCCTCAAAGAGTTTATGTTCTCACAGGGAGAAGGGAGGGAAAAAAATGAATGAACAAAGTATAGAATGTTAGATGGTAATAAAGTGAGATGGAAGAAAGCTAGGGAGTGGAAACAGATTCCAGAATTGGGCCTGCTACCATTTAAAATGGGATAGTTATGGAAGATCTCATTGAAATTCTGGCAAACCTTGAAGGAGAAAAAGGAGCAAGACATGCATTTATCTGGGGGAAAAGCATTCCAGGCATTGAGAATATTAAATGCAAAGACCCTGAGGCAGTAAGTTTGCCCCATGTTTTTTTTAGGAACAAGGAGGACTATGCAATAGGCAAGAAGGAAAGAATTAGAAGACCATAGTAAGATTTTAGCTTTTACTAAATCTGGGATGTTTTCTCACACCAAACAATTCTCCAACTCTGAGCCCAAATGGGTATCCAACAATTCAATTCTGACACCATGCAGAATTAGTGTAAACTCACAGGGGCTGAGAACCACAAGATGACCCTAACTTCAGAC